TGAGCGTTGATCTATGATTGGCTGAATTTAGGTGTTCAGGTTGACGTAGAACTAACTGGCCTGCAGAAGATAACGGAGAAAAAGGTGACGTTAAATGATTTTAATTCAGTTTAATAATGTTTATCCAGATAATGAGTAAAAAGCAAAGATATAAACAACAGAATAACTGTTATAATCTTTTCAACAGTAAGAGACAGAAAGTCAGGAAGTGATGTTTGACGGCTTCCACTCTGCGAAGCATCCGTCTCCCTTTATCTCTCCATTTCACCGTCTTCTCATCCATCAGACCATCATGGTTTCTCTGCAGCTTCCATCCATCCATCCATCACTCCGTTCTCCAATCATTCATGGCCTGCTTATATCCTGCTCCCACCTTCTCTCCCTCAGATACAATCTGAGCTCCTCGGCTGCTTTCTCTGTTTCTCCCAGTTATCAGCCGCCCACCATCGTTCCTAATGTTCTCCCCTCAGCGTCCCACAGCGGCTGGGTTGGCTTCAGGGTCCGACTGTTAGCGTGCCGGTGGCCCCGGGGCCCCGGCGGCGTCCTTTCCTTCAGGTTTTAGTTCTATTAAAGCAGCTTATGCTGGAGGACCCACTACTGATGATGATGATGATGATGAGGGGAGGGGGCGGCCTTTAAGATGCTACATTTAAAGTTCATAGAAATGATGAATTAGCTCATAAACGTCCTGATATGGCGGCATATTTACGCTGTTTGCTAAATGAACACAATCGTTTATCTGAACGAGCCTCGGATCGTTAATAACGGCCATTAGTTTCTGTCTGAGGATCCAGATCAGCTCCGATCAGCAAACTGGATTCTTGGTTCTGAGGGTTCGGTCCAGTGGAACCAGGATGGGAACAATGGTTTATACTTTATAAAGCAGGCAAATAATAATAAAACACGTTTATGAAAGAACGACTAAGTTAATGAGTTTCACTCAGTGGGCTCCAGTTTAACTTCCTCTGGTTTAAATCCATCAGAAAATCACTTTGCTTTCTGTTTATTATCGATCAATAGACAAAAATAATCTACAGATTAAAATATTCATTAGTTTGCTGGTAAAGATTCTCAGCCATAATCAGCTAATAGTCATTCCCAAAAAAAAAAAAAAACTAGACTAGCTTAGAACTCAACGCTAATCCAGACATTCTGAATTAAGAAGGGAAGAAAATCTTGGAAACAAAGTTCAGATGATTGTTTTTCAGTTCAGGGATGGTCTAGTAATGGTTGGTTAAGGTCAGGGATGGTCTAGTAATGGTTGGTTAAGGTCAGGGATGGTCTAGTAATGGTT